CAACATATTTCATATGAATTTAAAAAAAAAATTAAACTTGAGCCTGCGATCATTTGAAAACCATTACCTTGTCAGCGGATAACTTCAAAAAAACACTTGACCTCGATGGGTCGACACCTGAGCCCGCGATGCAGTCAAGTGATACTGGTCAGCAGATACCTTGTTTTGACAGCTGTCAATGGATCACAACATTGACGTGTATCAGTTTTCCTGTGCTCCGATCCCAAACTAGTTAGAAAGTATGAGACTGAACATTGATCGCGATCTAGTAAAATAATTAGCTGGTCAGCGGACAGCTTCCAAATAAATCACGTCACCTCAATGAGTTTTTCACATGAGCCCGCGATATGGTCATGGGATACTGGTCAGTGGCTATCCTGTTTTGACAGCTGTCAATTGACCATATTGTGAATGTCCAATGTAAAAGATGTGGACTTGGCAAGACACGCCTGAGACACCCCTCCCTTCGTTTTGATAGTCTCCCCTACCCCACCCGTACAATCCGTAGACTCGTACGTACGTACGCTCGGTCAATCACGTGACAACCAAAGGAAAAGAGGTTGACCATAATCTATGGGTATGGGGCTCTGTCCCACGCGCGCTTCGCGCGAGTGGGAGCCCCGCTATAAGTTTAATTTGTGGTCTCCGCACAAGCGAGAACTCGGTGTGATGAAACAGGTCAAAGCCTAATAATAAAAGATGTGCATTCCTCGCTCTTAAAGCATGTCATGAACTGCCCTTCCTATTCATTATCCGTCCAATTCGGGACTGCGGGAGCAGTCGTTTCTCTCGTCCATCTTTAAGTATTCTTCGACTGCGGGACCACAGAAGCAGCAGATTCAACTTAGACTCTGACAGGTTCTGTTTAACAGCCAGAAATCAGACGATCGGTGATGATACAAACTGGCAAAAAAAAGGTTACCATGTCCCTAGTTTCCAGTGCCCTTCGGTTCGCTTCATAGAGTAATTGCGCCTCGCACTGCCACATGTTCCTCCATCTCATGATAACAGTAATTAACGATGTCATTGCTTAAAAAGAAAGCCATTGGACTCACCTGCTAAATTAACACACGACTGATATTCGACCGACAGTTGACCGATATGTCACCGACATATGACCGGTAGTCGGTCAAGGTGCGTCGTCGAAATATCGACCGCTACTCGGCCGATAGTCTATCCCACGATCGACTGACTATCGACCGACTGTCCACTGACTATCGATCGACTATCGACCGCCGACCATCGAACGCTATATCGACCGATAAGTCGGTCGACACTACCTACAGTAAACAACATCTAATTTTTAAAGAAAGAAAAATTAACGCGACGTACAAAGAGAAACGAAAGTTGTTTAAAGAACAGGGACTAATTTATTTAAAGTTGATCGAAATCCAGGAAGCAGATATTGAGAGTAATATTCTTCTCACAGTACCCTGCTAGCAGTGGTTTCTCCAGGCCGGACGCTGGAGAAACCACTGCTCGCAGCGACCATGAAGATGAAATGTTGTTACAGTAATGAAATTGTGAAAGATTGATCGGAAATTTAAAAAGTGCGCGAAACTAAAGCTATTCAGTTTTCTAGTTTTCTTCTAAGAATGTCTGGAGTATGTCGAGAATTCTGGGCTAAAATGATAGAAGGTAAAATACACACAATTGACCGATTTTAGTCACAACTGAATGAAAATACGCACAACTGGTAGACTGTACAAGCCGAGTTTACGCTGATCAATAGTATAGTACCCGATAACTGTTAGATAATAAACTGATTGATTATTAGCAAAACTGATCGAAATTTAAGACAGCTTACCATGGTTGATTACGGATCATATACATCGATTTAAACACGACGGATTACCGATTGATGATATGCCGGCTGATCGATATTACGTATGTGGTAGAAAATTAGCACAATATAGTAATATTTTAATTGATCGATAACTGGTCGGTAAACCCGATCCGCAAAACTGATTGATTGGAGTTCAAAGTAAACTATTAGAGATTGTTCTTAATAATGACCACGAAAAAGCAATAATGAAAGGATCATGCGTCCTTCTTTCTGATTTTCAGCGCTTATATCCATGATTCAGAACAGAAAAAGATTAAAAATTTATAACCAATGAAAAAAATAATTTCGACACAAACGGCGCGCCATACCCACTTACCCCTCCCCTAAGCCAACATTAACACTTACTTCTCACTTAGGGCAAAATGCTGGCTTAGGGGAGGGGTAGGTGGGCAGTTTCCCAATCCGACTTTGTTTGTTTGTTTCATGCCCTGTTCAGCCTGTTTGTGTAAAAAAATGCACTTTGTTTGAGTGTCAATGTTGTATTTAAAGTACTAATTAGGGACACTACTTGACCACCAGTTTACACGGTTTAAGCGCCCCTACTGACTAAGCTAATCCTGCTTGTCCTGATTTCTAATCGCACCTTCTGGCTATAGCTCTCACGTTTGTAAATCCACTTTTCAGATAGAGAAGGATGGTCACCTTTTGGAGCGGATTGAACAGAGACAAACTGAGCGACAGCAGCGACTTAGAGACTACTGTGAGAAGCACGCTTCAAGCAGAAATCGAAGCGATCGATACAATCATCCTGTAATTGTTAACGATGACTACAAAGTAATCTTCTGCTATATTCCCAAGGTGGCCTGCAGTCAATGGAAACGTGTCTTTCTTGCTCTTGATAACCGCATCGATGTGGATGATGTGCATAATGACAAACATTATAGATTTCTCTTATATGATTATTCGGACGAGGATATTAAAGTGAGGCTAAAATCTTACTTTAAGTTTCTATTTGTTCGCGAACCACTCGAGAGGCTTTTGTCAGCCTACAATAACAAGTTTGTAAACAACCAATGGCCTTGGACGAGGATTCAAAGTTATAAAACGAAAATTTTGGAAAGATACAAACAAGATGAACTTTGCTCCAATATTTCTGACCAGGATCTTACTTTTAAGAAGTTCGTTTATTATGTGAGTGATGTGGGGTTTGATAGAGATGCACACTGGCGATCGTACTGCCCAATTTGTCACCCGTGTGATATAGAGTACGATTTCATCGGTCATTTTGAGGACATGCCAGAAGAGGCACCTTATATCCTACGGCAAACAGGAATGGATCGGGCGGTGACCTTTCCTCCGTTTCTTACCCACAATACTACAAGTCAACTTCTTAAAAGCTATGCCCCGATACCCAAGGAGAAGATCGCTCAGCTGGGTAAGGCCTTTGAAGAAGAAGACTTTGAAATGTTTAATTACGATTTTCCAGGGCCTCTATTCGATCTCATGCACGATTAAAAAGTCAGTATCTATAGCAAATACATATCTACGAGGAAAGTAATTCCGCTTTTTTTTCCCTTCTTGCGTCCATGTTACTTACAAGTGTCTGCTGCGCTAGGCTCAGTCTCCAGCCGTGGGTGTTTCGCTGCGCCCGCGGTACTCCCCACCAGGCTGGAGACTGGGACTCCTGCTACGTAGCCTACCTGAAATTGACTTGCTCGTGCATGGGACCTTTTGACATACTAAGTGATATGGGAATAAGAGAAAACATGTAATGAAGTAGACGGATACAATAAATAGTTTATCTAGCGGTAAATCGGATAAACCTTTAAAAATGACAACAAATAATTTAGATTAAACTCTACAATGTAATCTAGAAAAAAATCACCTAATAAAATCGTCTGATATACATGACTGTAAAAAATACTATGCTTTTTAGTCCGTTTGTTTTGGCGACGGTTAACGTGACATCTTCGGTTATTTTTCAGATTAAGATAATTACTAACACAACATTTGTTTGGCTCTGGTAAAAATAAGTATGATCCGCGATTCAGGGGATTATTGATGTATGTCCTGAAACATTTCGGCCCTTTAAACCTTTGGTAAAAATAAGTATGATTCGCGATTCTGGGGATTATTGATGTATGTCCTGAAACATTTCGTCCCTTTAAACCTTTCTCCGATCAAACAGTGTCTCTAAACTAGAGATTCCTAGTGCCTCCCGACAGGTGACATGCGGCGACACAATTCGCATAGCGAGCTTCTGCGAGCCGTCCAGTAGAAAAGTATGAAACGGTAAACTGATTCTAACGGTAAGGCGATCAAGAAGTAAACAAATGAATAAAACAAAAACTATATATTTAAACCTATTTAAGTTTAATTGTACTGATCCAGGTCTACAACTGGGAGAACCGGCACCACTTGTTACTGTCGACCTGCTGATATTTTATATATTTTAGCCCTTCAGTAGCCTGGGACCAGGCTCTACAGTGGGGAAAAAAGGCCAAAGACAGGATGAGGGGAAATGTATGTGCATTTCCACTATAAACAAATCTCTTTTTAGCGAATGCATTTCTAGAAATAGGGGCGGATCCAGGATTTTTTCTAGGAGGGGGAGCACTCGTCTCTTGCTCTACTTCAACACCAATAAACCACATAGTTTTTTTTGCAGAATACCAGTTGTATTAGAAAACTACTGCAGGTCATCTCGGGGGGAGGGGGGTGCACACCCCCTGCACCCTCCCCCTAGATCCGCCCCTGAGAAAGAAATACTACGTAGAGTAGGAAATTATGTATGGGTGAAGACCAACGCCGTGGCATGGTGGCGTGACGGGGGAAGCCGAGTAGTCTCCTCTGCCCTTACCACCTTGGCCTGCGTACACCTTCCTGGCACATCTTACTTCTAAGAAATTTACGTGTTTTCTAAGAACCCCGAGATTTATTCGTATAGTGATTGGAGGCAGCGTAATAGAGAAGAGATGTGTTACGTCACGTTACCAAGAGAGCCAAATTTCTGGATAAGAACAGTTTAAGCAACGACGACGGCGACGGCAACGAAAACGGCAAAAAAGCAATGGTTTATATTAGCAAAACCATTCCTTATCATAGGAAATGAACGCGAATTTCAAAAATTCCCATCAATTTTAGTCCCGTTAATTTCTAGCCTGCGAAAACACCCGTTTCTTCTCACTCTTCGTCGCTGAGGACGTTTCGCTTGGAGGAACGTCTGCGACTCAGCGACAGAAATTCCATACTGTTGACGTAAAATCTGTCCAGAATCCGGTCAGAAGCGCTGATTGGTCGACGGAGCAGTCACATTGTTTTAGCTATTGTTTACAAATGACAGACAAAAGACAAAAGGCCAAAAAGGTCAAATGTAAACACGAAGAATCTCTAACAAAACAGTCAATATTTGTGGAATATAGTCTTCTCTAGAAGAAGCATTTGAGTTTTGCTGGAGCTCGTGGGCAGATCAACACAACACTTTACCAAAATGGACCAGAAGACACGCAAAATTAGACAAATTTATATTTGGAACCCCATGACTACCGGATTTATTTTGTAAACATTGATTTGCGTCATCAGTATGGAATTTCTGTCACTGAGTCGCAGACGTTCCTCCGCGCGAAACGTCCTCAGCGACGAAGAGCGAGGAGAAACGGATGTTTTCGCAGGCTAGTTAATTTCCGTAAACGTCAATTTCCGCGACGTTAATTAAGTGTAGCGTTAATTTCGCGACATTAACTTCCATGTTTTTGAACCCCAAATTCTCAATACACTTCAGTCTGGCGTTCTCGAGACCTAATAAAGAGGAATACTTTATCAGGGTGAAGATCCGCCAGCAACAGTAAAACTGTGAAGAACTTGAAGTGGCCAGATTTGTTCGCTTAACGTTTAAGGAAAGAAGCACGAACAAAGTTTCCGTTTCGCATTTTACGTTTGATCTTCGTTGCTGTTGTCTCAGCAAGTTTTGTATCTTTGTGCACGTCGAGTTAATTTCATTCATTTTGAAATGTTACCCGGCCTCTCTTTCGCGAGTTAATTTCATTTATTCAAAAGTCGTTTTCTACTAAATTCGCGTTAATTTAAGTGGTGTTAATTTCTAATACCTTAATTTCATGGAGTATTAATTTTCCCTAATAGGGTAACTTTGCACGTGCATCACGCGTATTGTACGATTCTTAGCTGTCATTGCTCGACGGCGACATGAAACGTTCTCATCAATCTGTGGAGTCGGTGAACACAACACAAAAATGTTCCTTTTGTTTCTTAACTCAGATATGGTTCTTTTCGATTCAACCGTAGAAAATTTCGCCAACACTTGGCAAATTAAATGAAGTTGAATAAGATCAGTGAAGTTTGAAAAAGTGCGAATTCACGTTTTTGGTTTGTTGTCATCCAGATTTTGCTACCATGGCAACGTGACGTAACGGCTTCTCCTCCCTACTGGGGAGTCTTACCATGAGTATCAATCTACGCGTAGTGACGTTTTCTTGTTGTCGCCGTGTCACGGGTGTATCCTTTGCATGGGAGCAATCTCGTGCACAGGGCTCACGCAAGAGCTCCCCAGAGAGCTTGCTCGCAGGCTAGGTACGTATATTCCATGTGAGAAATCGTTAGATGATGATGATGATGATTCACAAGATTCCAAAGAAGGGGGCCTCAACAACTGTAACAACTGTGGCAAGACGCAACACCTCTCTCCATTTCAGCTCATTTCCAGCAAGGTATTCTGCAGAACATTCCTCAAAATGATTGATAGTGCCATAGATCCCAAGTTGAGACCCGAACAGACTAAATTTCGTACAGGCCGAGGCTGCATTGTTCCAGATTTTCCTCTCCAGAACATCACTGAGCAGTGCATTGAATGGAATGTTCCCTTGTTTACCAACTTCATTGTCTTTGAGAAAGCATTCGACAGAGTGGAAGATCTTGAAGGGCATACGGACTACTACCTTAGATTGTTATTTAGAGTCATTCCCCATCAAGTCTAGAGTACAACAGAGTTTTATTCTCTCCAATCTTTTCTGTAGTAGCCATAGACTGGGTGATAAGTGAAACAACCTCAGACCGTCCGCTTGGAATCCAGTGGACCTTGGTCTCACATTTAGAAGAACATGACTCTGCCGATGATCTGGCAGACATGTCAGCCACTCAGCCATCTCAGGCAAAAATGCTACAGACAATTTGAAATAACTTTGAATGGGCTCCTTGCTAAACAGAGAGAATAACGTGCGCGTGGTACTGTGTTACTGGCAAATAAGAGGTTTTGAATAAGCTTTGTTTCCAAATAAACACCGCCCCCCAAACAAAGCGCGGCAAGAAGAAAAGTTCAATGAGCTCCGCTGCTTTCTTCGAGTAAATATCGTAAGGCACGTGATCAGAGTCAGTACTGCGCATATGTGAAGGTAAAGAGAAATACCTTACAAACGATAACGCAAAGCTGAGCAACAAACAAATGATCAACTGTTGAATATAAACCGACAAAGTATCTTATTTTCATTTCTTTAATGGCTGTTCCACTTTGGAGAAATTTGATTGTATCTCTGATCATTTTACTGATTCTGCTGACCATGTACATGGTTGCTTTGTACCAAGGTAAGCTACCATTTTACCTTTTTCAAATTTCAATTCTTGTATATATCTTGACCGATAAAGGACACTGATTTTCGTTATTCGTTTGTTGGCTAACTAACTAACTTCAAAAATAGAAAAATGGTGCTTTCACTCCGCGCACTTTCCTTTCGTCAGATAAGTATGCGGCAGGAAATTACGCGTATCAAAACTGCTGCCACACGGTTCACTACCTAACTGAATCCTTCCTGCTTTTTTTTCTAATAAATGTTCAGTTGAACGCTTCTTTAACCATTTGGAACACTCTACTGGACCAAGAAATACTTCAAACGTAATGCATGTAAGTTGCTGTTCTGCAATTCGTTTTCGATCAAACTTTCCTCACAAAGAAAATTAATCACCATCTCCTACATTAACTTCAAAGTAGCCAGAGTTTCTAGCGATGAAATGACTGTCTATACTTCTTTTTTACTTTAAGGTTTTTCAAAATAGTCAGTGTGCAACTTTTTATTTTTTATTTTTATTTTTTTCACAGAAAGCCTTGGGTAATGAAAGTTTCAAACTCAGAAATTAAAATGTCTCGTTAAATAAATATGTTTTGCATTTTTTCTCCTTTAAATTTGTTAGAACTATTACTTAATGTTTACGACTGAAGGCGAATCAATCACTCTTGGCTTAACACATGATATAATGCTGCGATTATTTGGATAAGCAATATTCCTTTATTAGATATTATTAACAGAAAGGTTTTAATCATATATTCATTAGGCAAATGATATATATGGCCTTTTATGGCTAATTAACGTCAGAGATGTTTCCAACAGAAGTTGTCCTTGGCAGCTCTCCCTGACGAAAAAACTGGCGAGTAGCATTTTAACAAGGAGAGCTGTCAAGACTGAACACTTGTCAGGGCTGATATTTGCCAGCGGTAATGACTCATCAAGGACTCTTGTCAAGGAAACGCCAAAGGCAGGCCAAGGATTTGTGGAAATTTAACGTCCGCTGGCCGATTTCATTATCGGCGCGGGCAATAATGATAACTATTGGTCAAGAAAAATTGTAATTAAAGTGAGGCTTTATTTTAACTCGATAATACTTTTTATTTTTCATCTTTGTTGTCCCTGCAACTGACATTACTTCCTCCATAGATGTTGAAGCGGTCAGGTTCTTGCCCAAAGTAGATAAAACAGCAGGCATTGCTGAAAAAGAACTCAAGGTAGGTTAAATCACGTCGTGTTATTACAGGTGTTAATAGTATATGAGAATGATGTTTATCTAGCCTGCAAAGCATAGGCGTTTCTGTGCGGTTTCGCGCGGCCAAAACCGAAAATTCCGTAACGGAAACGCTTGCTACGCAGGCTAATATTTGTCTGTCGCGATTTTATTTTCTCTAACAATCGTTTTGTTTGCGAGATTCTTAATGTCTTTTAAATGTCTCAACTATACTAAATAAAGAATTAAGAGATGGGAAAGGTAGTACTGACCGGCCAGAGTTGTAGGAAGAAGACTTTGTGAATCATTTTACGTTTCTGGGAAACTGCCCACCTACCCCTCCCCTAAGCCAACATTAACACTTACTTCCTACTTAGGGAAAAGTGCTGGCTTAGGGGAGGGGTAGGTGGGCAGTTTCCCAGAAACGTAAAATGTTTTGCTTGTTTCATGTCCTGTTCAGCCTGTTTGTGTAAAAAATGCACTTTACTTGAGTGTCAATGTTGTATTTAAATTACTAATTAGGGACATTACCTGGGTGCCAGTTTACACGGTTTAAGCGCCCCTACCGACTAAGCTAATCCTGATTGTCCTGATTTCTAATCAAACCTTCTGGCTAAAGCTCTCACGTTCGTAAATCCACTTTTCAGATAGAGAAGGATGGTCACCTTTTGGAGCGGATTGAACAGAGACAAACTGTGCGACAGCAGCGACTTAGAGACTACTGTGAGAAGCACGCTTCAAGCAGAAATCGAAGCGATCGATACAATCATCCTGTAATTGTTAACGATGAGTACAAAGTAATCTTCTGCTATATTCCCAAGGTGGCCTGCAGTCAATGGAAACGTGTCTTTCTTGCTCTTGATAACCGCACCGATGTGCATGATGTGCATGATGGCAAACATTATAAATTTCTCTTATATGATTATTCGGACGAGGATATTAAAGTGAGGCTAAAATCTTACTTTAAGTTTCTATTTGTTCGCGAACCACTCGAGAGGCTTTTGTCAGCCTACAATAACAAGTTTGTAAACAACAAATGGTCTTGGAGAAGAATTCAAAGGTATAAAACGAAAATTTTAGAAAGATACAAACAAGACGAACCTAGCTCCAATAGTTCTGACCAGGGTCTTACTTTTAAGAAGTTCATTTATTATGTGAGTGATGTTGGGTTTGATAGAGATGCACACTGGCGATCGTACGGCCCAATTTGTCACCCGTGTGATATAAAGTACGATTTCATCGGTCATTTTGAGGACATGCCAGAAGAAGCACCTTATATCCTACGGCAAACAGGAATGGATCGAGCGGTGACCTTTCCTCCGTTTCTTACCCACAATACTACAAGTCAACTTCTTAAAAGCTATGCCCCGATACCCAAGGAGAAGATCGCTCAGCTGGGTAAGGCCTTTGAAGAAGACTTTGAAATGTTTAATTACGATTTCCCAGGGCCTCTATCCGATCTCATGCACGATTGAAAAGCCAATATCTATAGCAAATACACATCTACGAGGAAAGTAATTCCGATTTTTAAATTAGAGGTCTTGGTCGGAATAGTGTTAACGGGCAGATATTACATTGGCCTGAAATTTAGCCTGCTTGGCCGGCGCTTATAAATGATATAGGCGCGAGAAAGAACGGGGCTCTCAAAGGGGAATACGCTCCCTCTTACGTCGCGTGCCCTTTTCTTTTTTGCGCCTATGTTATTTACAAGCGTCTGCTACGCAAAGCTCAGTCTCTAGCCTTGGGTGTTTCGATGCGCCCGCCGATTCACACCCGGCCGGAGACTGGGGCTCCTGCTACGCAGGCAAGCTACCTGAAATTGACTCGCTCGTGCATGGGACCTTTTGACATACTAAGCCATATGGGAATAAGGGAGAACATTCAATTAAGTAGGCAGATACTATGAATAGTTTATCTAGAGGTGAAGCGGATAAACCTTTAAGAATGATCTACATATAATCTTGCTGAAACTCTACAATGTAATCTGGAAAAAAAAATCACCTAATAAAATCGTCTGATATACATTACTGTAAAGAACTACGTCGCGTTAATTTCTAATTCCTTAATTTCATGGAGCGTTAATTTCCTCTAATAAGGTAACTTTGCACGTGCATCACGCGTATCGTACAATTCTTAGCTGTCATTGCTCGACGGCGACATGAAATATCCTGATCACCTTTTCGGTTTGTTGTCATCCGGATTTTGCTACCATGGTAACGTGACGTAACGGCTTCTTCTTTCTACTGGCAAACAGGAATGGATCGGGCGGTGACCTTTCCTCCGTTTCATACCCACAATACTAAGGGTGAACTTCTTAAAAACTATGACCCGATACCCAAGGAGAAGATCGCTCAGGTGGGTAAGCCCTTTGAAGAAGACTTGTTGAAATGTTTAATTACGATTTCCCAGGGCCTCTATCCGATATTATGCACGATTAAAAAGCCAGTATCTATAGCAAATACATATCTACGAGGAAAGTAATTCCGATTTTTAAATTAGAGGTCTTGGTCGGAATAGTGTTAACGGGCAGGTATTACATTCGCCTGAAATTTAGCCTGCTTACCAGGCGCGCATAAATAATATGGGGACAAGAAAGAACGGGGCTCTTGAAGGGAACACGTTCCCTCTCACGTCGCGCGCCCTTTTTTTTCTTGTGTCCGTGTTACTTACAAGTGTCTGTTTCGCTAGGCTCAGTCTCCAGCCGTGGGTGTTTCGATGTGCCCGCGGTACTCCCCCTCCGAATGGAGACTGGGGCTCCTGCTACCCACGTAAGCTACCTGAAATCGACTCCCTCGTGCATGGGACCTTTTGACATACTAAGCCATATGGGAATAAGGGAGAACATTCAATGAAGTAGACAGATACTCGAAATAGTTTATCTAGAGGTGAAGCGGATAAACCTTTAGAAATGACAACAAATGATCTTGCTTAAACTCTACAATGTAATCTGGAAAAAAAAATCACCTAATAAAATCGTCTGATATACATTACTGTAAAAAATACTATTCTTTTTAGTCTGTTCGTTTTGGCAACGGTTAACGTGATATCTTCGGCTGTTTTTCAGACTAAGACAATGACTAACACTACACTACGTCGCGTTAATTTCTAATACCTTAATTTCACGGAGCGTTAATTTTCTGTAATAAGGTAACTTTGCACGTTCATCACGCGTATTGTAGCTGCCATTGCTCGACGGCGACATGAAATGTCCTGATCACGGGCCTGTTTTATGGAGTAAAGTGAACACAACACAGTAATGTTCCTTTTCTTTCTTAACTCAGATACGGTTCTGTTCGATTCAACGCCAGGAAATTTCACTAACATTTGGCAAATTAAATGAAGTTGAACAAGATCAATAAAGTTTGAAAAACTGAGTGCGAATTCACGCTTTCTGTTTGTTGTCCGATCCAGATTTTGCTACCATGGTAACGTGACGTAACGGCTTCTCCTTTCTACTGGGGAGTCTTCACGCTTAACATGAGTATAAATCTACTCGTAGTGACGTTTTCTTGTTGTCGTCGTCTCACGGGTGTATCCTTTGCACAGGGTCCACCCAAGAGCTCCCCAGAGAGCTTGCTCGCAGGCTAGATGTAGCGTTGCAGTTGTGTTTACTTAACCTTGCAAGACAAATTTTACTACCTTCCACGACCCGCTAGAATTGCAAATTTTGCTCGAAGACCAAACTGCAACGGAGATTCTTTTCTAGTCCTATGCCGCGACTATCACGATACATTGCATAACCTGATTGGCTTCCATATCACATTACGTCAGAGGACATGTTCACAAGATAGGACATAACTACAACGGTACAGCTAGATACGTACATCCCATCTGGGAAATCGTTAGATGATGATGATGATGATAATGATACCTTTGTTTAAGTATCAATCTGTAATAGCGGTGAAGAGCCACCAAGGGGGGAAACTAAAAAAAAATTTAAAAAGAATGAATAAAAAAATTAGTTAATTAAAAAAAGAAAAAACAGAAAGTTTATGGAATGGAAGCTTCTTTCACGTTACAAGGAACAGAGCTCCATACCTTTGGGCCCATATACATGAGCGAGTGCTTTCCAAAGGAGACTGTGTTAAATCTTGGTATAGCGACTCTCCTCTTCGCAGATGCTCCTATTCGGTATCAAAAAAATAGAAAGCGCGCGGGGGACGATTCCGCGTTTTTCTTTCTCCCCAGTCTCCCAACAACTCAAAGAGGCCTGTGCAGAGGAGAGAGGTATAGCGAAGTCATGATTGCGCAATTTATACTTAATTGCTGCAGGCTTATCAAATAGAATGCTAATGCACGTAGGTCATCTGCACGATCAATGATTACTCCTGAAGCCTGAACTCCTGTGATTATTAATGTCAATGCTCTTCAATTAAATGAATTGAGTGCTCTACGAAATACGTTCTACCCAGAATACAAGTAGGTCGTATGCATGCATATTTAATAATATTCATACATGTTAGGAGCCAGAAGTCGTGTCGTAGAAACAAAAAGATGTCTCTTCCTTTCAATCCTTCCACGGCTGTCCTACACATTCGAAAGGTGAAAATACTTGGAGTAATTTTGCTTCTGTTGGTAACGGTTTATTTGATAACTTTATTGCTGACGAATGAGTGGAACCCAGGTGAAGTATGGCTTGTACATGTTAAAATACATGTATTTGTTTAATAACTAAATCTGAGAAAAGGCTCCTTCAGCGTAAAGCAACCTCTTCACATAAGAAATAGTTCATAAAAATAATAAAAATGACTCTAATTATTGGTAAGTGCTGATGATGAGCAGTCTAAAAGTAAAAAGTGAGTAAAGCATATTTTTCGTCACATTGAATATACAGAAAAGAATACTTAGAACCAGGGGCAACCAACGACGGTTTTCTCCTAAACAAGTGCATTGAAAACACTTTTTAGACTATCCAGAGTACTTTTAGATCTCTACAAATGCATTCTAAGCGGCGCTATAAAATTCGGTGAATTTGTTCGGTGATCTTTTCCAAACTACAAGGTCTTCAGTATTATTTTCCCGAAAATTTTAGATGAAATTTGTAGTTTTACGAAAGCGAGCATTTTCTGATTCCTCTCCCCATCGCCAAGCTCTAGAAAATTCTAGGCAATTTTTGCTTCTTCGAACAGATATTTTACAGAAAACAATCGTTGGGTGCCTCCTATAGAGCCATGTATTTCAATCATCATGATAAGGGAAAAACAACAGAAAACTTTGGTCTATATTTTCCGTGTGTGTTTTTAAGGGATTTCAGAAACCCTTCCAACGCAAAAAAAAAATCCTACTTGCATTTGAAAATGAACAAATAGCTTCAGAAGAGGATATCAATTAAAAGGCTTTCGATATTCTTCTCCGTATTGTAATGACTCTCCATCACTGGGGAACACGGCTAATCGTTTTCATATCTGTCATGTTCAACACGAGTTCGTGAAAAATTGGTAATGTACACAAAATAAATTTAGAACAAAAAAGTCTCAAGTTAACACATTTATTAGACAACTGATTGCATGGACGGATTTTATTTTATTTTTTTTCCGGTAATCTTTTATCACACTTGACGTGCAATTCACCTTAGTCAAGACAACCAAACCTGCCGTAGGATATGCTGAAAAACAAGACAAGGTAAGTTGGGGTTTCAAAGGCAACATGGTGAGTTATTTACAGAATTATATAATATCATTACGGTGAGCTATAATTAGTCATTGGTTAGCTACCAAATCATGAAATTTTAATATTTGACATTCAGAATATATTGACATTTCGAAATTTTACGTACAGAATATTGAAATTTTAAGTTTTGACATTCTAAAAAAAAATTCAAGATTCTCCATTACAAATCTTGAAATGTCTCAAGATTTTGAATACCAATTAGTGCTTTAAATACAACATTGACATAAAGTGTATTTTTTTACCCACACAGGCTGAACAGGGCATGAAACAAGCAAACTAAGTCGGATCATTTTACGTTTCTGGGAAACTTTCCACCTATCCCTCCCCTAAACCAATATTTTGCCTTAAGTGAGAAGTAAGTGTTAATGTTGGCTTAGGGGAGGGGTAGGTGGGCAGTTTCCCAGAAACGTAAAATGATCCACAAAGTCTTCTACCTACAACTCCAGCCGGTCCGTACTACCTTTACCATGGCTTAATTCTTTAGTATAGCTAAGACTTTGTCCACACGAATCCATTTAAAAGACATTAAACGATCTCGTTAACAAAACGATTGTTAGAGAGGATAAAATCGTGACAGATAAATATTTGCCTGCGTAGCAAGCGTTTCCGTTACGGAATTTTCGGTTTTGGCCGCGCGAAACCGCACAGAAACGCCTTTGCTATGCAGGCTAGATAAACATTCTCATATACTATTAACACCTGTAATAATACGACGTGATTTAACCTACCTTGAGTTCTTTTTCGGCAATGCCTGCAGTTTTATCTACTTCGGGCAAGGTCCTGACCACTTCAACATCTATGGAGGAAGTAAATACCTCTTATTAGCCGAGTTTTCGGTCCGCACTGTAAATTACGGATCCTCGTTATTTACCATTTTTTGGCCCAGGCGCAATAAATCGATGGAAAAAACGAGGCGCAGTACGGGACCGAAAAACGAGGCTAATAAGATGTTTATTATATGGCTTCTTCCTGTTTGGGGACCGTAAACAAGTGCAGGACGCACGATTTGACAGTCATTTGACAGGTGTCAAAAAGAAAGTTTTTATTGGCGCACGAAAACAATATCACATAACAAAGGCTTTCCGAGAAAGTAAAAACAAATTCACCATGTTAAAAAGTTTATTCGGTCAAAACTAAGAGCACTGTAAGTTTTAGCTCCTTAGTGTAACGCTGGAGTATTTTGAAAACCGCACACTGTGTCTGTCTAGAAGTCGTTTCCATCTTTCCACCGTTTGTCCTTGTGAAAAAACACTGCAAAAGGCAAAGAAGCTTTTCAAGGTAAGTTTGTTGTCATTGTCGAAGGATTCGCTCGTTAATTGTTTTTGTCTTTCTGCCAGTTCATTCTCGTCTTCAATGGTGATCTGCGTTAAAATTTTCAAACACTGACTAGAATTCTCTTCCTCGGTAAGGTTACGATTCAGTTTCTACAACAGCTTCCTTCTCATTAAAACAAAGCTAGGGTAAAATTTGGAAAGGCAAAGTCAACATCTCAGTCCTCAGGGTTTACATACATATTTCAAAGTTTATTCGGTGGAAACTACGAGCACTGTGAGTATTCACTCGTTAATGACGCTGGAGTCTTTTGAAAACTGGACATTATTGTGTCTGGCTCGAACTCGCTTCTATCTTTCTTTCGTTGGCCTTTGAAAAAGCACTGCAAATGGCAAAGAAGCTTGTCAAGATGATCGGGTGCAGGTATGTTTCTTATCATATTTGTTGAAGGGATTACTCATTTTCTCCATGGCAAAACGTCTCGAATCTCTGCCAGTCGATTTTCGTATTCTTAACTGTGTACCACGATAAAATTTTCAAACGCTGACTAGAATCCTCTTCGATAAGATTACGAGTTAGTTTCTTCATCGCCTTCGTTCACAAATAAACACAGTTTAAAATGTTGAAGGCCAAAGTCAACATCCAAGTCCTCAAGGTTGACAGGCGTCTTATAACTTTATTTAAACATTTTTTCCGCGGTAAAGAGATTTTGACCTCCAAAATGAGCATTTTTTTTTAACGTTTTGGTCCGTATAGCAAGTTACGGACCGCAAATTGACCAATAGCATGGCGAAAACAGACTCAACCATATAATAAAGTCAGTTACAGGGACAACAAAGATGAAAAATAAAGATTATTATCGAGTTAAAATAAAGCCTCATTTTAATTGCATTTTTTCACCAATAGTGCGGACAATGAAATCGGCCAGCGGACGTCAAATTTGCACAAATCCTTGGCCTGCCGCACCCTTGGCGTTTTCTTGACAAGAGTCCTTGTTGAGTCATCACCGCTGGCAAATATCAATTCTGACAAGAGGACCGAGTACCGAGGACGACTGGGAACAGGCCTGCGAAAATTCCGTAACGGACACGCTTGCTACGCAGGCTAATATTTATCTGTCACGATTTTATCCTCTCTAACGATCGTTTTGTTTGCGAGATCGTTTAATGTGTTTTGAATGGACTCGTGTCGAATTGGTCTCAACTATACTAAAGAATCGATCAAATGTCTGTACGATCGATCAGTTGTCCGTAATCAACCATGATAAGCTGTCTCAATTGATCAGTTTTGCTAATAATCGATCAGTTCATTGTTGATCAGCGTAAACTCGGCTTGTATAATCTACCATTAGCTACCATTGTGCGTATTTTCATTCAGTTGTCACTAAAATCGATCAGTAGTCATTATGATCAACGAATTGTGCGTATTTTCATTCACTTTTGACTAAAATCGATCAGTTGTTATATGATCGATCACTAGTGCGTATTTTCATCCAGTTGTGACTAAAATCGACCAGTAGTCATTATGATCAATGAGTTGTGACTAAAATCGACCAGTTTTTATATGATCGACCATTAGTACGTATTTTCATTCCGTTTTGACTAAAATCGATCAGTTGTTATATATATGACAAATGAGTTGTGCGTATTTTCATTCAGTTGTTACTAAAATCGATCAGTTCTTATACGATCGATCAGTAGTGCGTGTTTTCATTCAGTTGTGTCTAAAATTAACGGGAAAGGCAGGGTAAAATTTTTAGTAGTGTCGACTGATCTATCGGTCGATATAGCGATCGATAGTCGGTCGACACTCGGTCGACACTCAGTCGAAAGTCGGTCGACACTCGGTCGATATAGCGGTAGATAGTCGGTCGATAGTCGGTCGACACTCAGTCGATATAGCGGTCGATAGTTGGTCGATAGTCGGTCGAGACTAGGACGATAGTCGGACGACACTCGGTCGAGACACGGTCGATAGTCGTTCCAGATATGTCTCGGCCGATATGGCTTTTCGTTCATCGATACTTCACCGACACTTCACCGATGTATCGGTCAGTAATTGGTCAACGCTCGGTCGATGGTCGGCCGACACTTGGTCGATAGTCAGAAGATAGCAAGAATACCTTAAAGAATTCATGTGGAGACGATGGCATGGTGAGCCTCACCCCAATGGCTGTTTTGGTCGACTGATGCAGGACATTGCAGAACAGTATCCACTGTAAATAGAAATCAATGACCTTCGTTAGCTAGCATTTCTTACATTTTTTTGGTTGGAAAACAAGAAATTAGAAAACATTTCCTAGCTTGAGTATTGGTGTTAACGCGGCGCATACTGTTTTCCTTTTATTGGATAATCAAAGGTTACTTACCATTCAATATTAATTTCTGTTACGCATGGCCGTCTTTATTTTGAACACAATATATATAAAGCGAGAGGACAGAGCAAAAGGACAGGATAATGTAATGAGAACGTATGAGTATTTTCCTAGCTGTAAATTGAAATCATTCCCACAATAAATGAATGTGTTCAGTCTGCTGGATATTGTGTCACCTTCCTCGGCGCATTATCAGCGTGTTCTATCAATAGCTGATCGTTAAACAAAGGACTGTTCCCGTCTTCAATGCAGAAATATATAAGTTTAATTTGTGGTCTCCGCACAAGCGAGAACTCGGCGTGATGAAACAGGTCAAAGCCCAATAATAAAAGATGTGCATTCCTCGCTCTTAAAGCATGTCATGAACTGCCCTTCCTATTCATTATCCGTCCAATTCGGGACTGCGGGAGCAGTCGTTTCTCTCTTCCATCTTTAAGTATTCTTCGACTGCGGGACCACAGAAGCAGCAGATTCAACTTAGACTCTGACAGGTTCTGTTTAACAGCCAAAAATCAGACGATCGGTGATGATACAAACTGGCAAAAAAAAGGTAACCATGTCCCTAGTTTCCAGTGCCCTTCGGTTCGCTTCATAGAGTAATTGCGCCTCGCACTGCCACATGTTCCTCCATCTCATGATAACAGTAATTAACGATGTCATTGCTTAAAAAAGAAAGCCATTGGACTCACCTGCTAAATTAACACACGACTGATATTCGACCGACAGTTGACCGATATGTCACCGACATATGACCGATAGTCGGTCGAGGTGCGTCGTCGAAATATCGACCGATACTCGGCCGATAGTCTATCCCACGATCGACTGACTATCGACCGACTGTCCACTGACTATCGATCGACTATCGACCGCCGACCATCGAACGCTATATCGACCGATAAATCGGTCGACACTACCTACAGTAAACAACATCTAATTTTTAAAGAAAGAAAACAGGGACTAATTTATTTAAAGTTGATCGAAATCCAGGAAGCAGATATTGAGAGTAATATTCTTCTCACAGTACCCTGCTAGCAATGGTTTCTCCAGGCCGGACGCTGGAGAAATCACTGCTCGCAGCGACCATGAAGATGAAATGTTGTTACAGTAATGAAATTGTGAAAGATTGATCGGAAATTTTAAAAGTGCGCGAAACTAAAGCTATTCAGTTTTCTAGTTTTCTTCTAAGAATGTCTGGAGTATGTCGAGAATTCTGGGCTAAAATGATAGAAGGTAAAATATACACAATTGACCGATTTTAGTCACAACTGAATGAAAATACGCACAACTGGTAGACTGTACAAGCCGAGTTTACGCTGATCAATAGTATAGTACCCGATAACTGTTAGATAATAAACTGATTGATTATTAGCAAAACTGATCGAAATTTGAGACAGCTTACCATGGTTGATTACGGATCATATACATCGATTTAAACACGACGGATTACCGATTGATGATATGCCGGCTGATCGATATTACGTATCTGGTAGAAAATTAGCACAATATAGTAATATTTTAATTGATCGATAACTGGTCGGTAAACCCGATCCGCAAAACTGATTGATTGGAGTTCAAAGTAAACTATTAAGAGATTGTTCTTAATAATGACGACGAAAAAGCAATAATGAAAGGATCATGAGTCCTTCTTTCTGATTTTCAGCGCTTATATCCATGATTCAGAACAGAAAAAGATTAAAAATTTATAACCAATGAAAAAATAATTTCGAGACAAACGGCGCGCCATACATTTTTTTTTACCCCTCCCTAAGCCAACATTAACACTTAGTTCTCACTTAGGGCAAAATGCTGGCTTAGGGGAGGGGTAGGTGGGCAGTTTCAATCCGGCTTTGTTTGTTTGTTTCATGCCCTGTTCAGCCTGTTTGTGTAAAAAATGCACTTTATTTGAGTGTCAATGTTGTATTTAAAGTACTAATTAGGGACACTACTTGACCACCAGTTTACACGGTTTAAGCGCCCCTACTGACTAAGCTAATCCTGATTGTCCTGATTTCTAATCGCACCTTCTGGCTAAAGCTCTCACGTTTGTAAATCCACTTTTCAGATAGAGAAGGATGATCACCTTTTGGAGCGGATTGAACAGAGACAAACTGTGCGACAGCAGCGACTTAGAGACTACTGTGAGAAGCACGCTTCAAGCAGAAATCGAAGCGATCAATACAATCATCCTGTAATTGTTAACGATGAGTACAAAGTAATCTTCTGCTATATTCCCAAGGTGGCTTGCAGTCAATGGAAACGTGTCTTTCTTGCTCTTGATAACCGCACCGATGTGGATGATGTGCATGATGACAAACATTATAAATTTCTCTTATATGATTATTCGGACGAGGATATTAAAGTGAGGCTAAAATCTTACTTTAAGTTTCTATTTGTTCGCGAACCACTCGAGAGGCTTTTGTCAGCCTACAATAACAAGTTTGTAAACAACAAATGGCCTTGGAGAATAATTCAAAGTTATAAAACGAAAATTTTGGAAAGATACAAACAAGATGAACTTAGCTCCAATAGTTCTGACCAGGATCTTACTTTTAAGAAGTTCATTTATTATGTGAGTGATGTTGGGTTTGATACAAATGCACACTGGCGATCGTACGGCCCAATTTGTCACCCGTGTGATATAAAGTACGATTTCATCGGTCATTTTGAGGACATGCCAGAAGAAGCACCTTATATCCTACGGCAAACAGGAATGGATCGAGCGGTGACCTTTCCTCCGTTTCTTACCCACAATACTACAAGTCAACTTCTTAAAAGCTATGCCCCGATACCCAAGGAGAAGATCGCTCAGCTGGGTAAGGCCTTTGAAGAAGACTTTAAAATATTTAATTACGGTTTCCCAGGGCCTCTATCTGATCTCATGCACGATTGAAAAGCCAGTATCTATAGCAAATACACATCTACGAGGAAAGTAATTCCGATTTTTAAATTAGAGGTCTTGGTCGGAATAGTGTTAACGGGCAGGTATTACATTGGCCTGAAATTTAGCCTGCTTGGCCGGCGCTTATAAATGATATAGGCGCGAGAAAGAACGGGGCTCTCAAAGGGGAACACGCTCCCTCTTACGTCGCGTGCCCTTTTCTTTTTTGCGTCTATGTTATTTACAAAAGTCTGCTACGCAAAGCTTAGTCTCCAGCCGTGGGTGTTTCGATGCGCCCGCCGATTACCACCCGGCTGGAGACTGGGGCTTCTGCTACGCACGCAAGCTACCTGAAATTGACTCGCTCGTGCATGGGACCTTTTGACACACAAAGCCATATGGGAATAAGGGAGAACATTCAATGAAGTAGACAGATGCTCTGAATAGTTTATCTAGAGGTGAAGCGGATAAACTTTTAAGAATGACTACAAATAATCTTACTGAAACTCTACAACGTAATCTGGAAAAAAAATCACCAAATAAAATCGTCTGATATACATTACTGTAAAAAATACTATTCTTTTTAGTCTGTTCGTTTTGGCAACGGTTAAAGTGATCTTCGGCTGTTTTTCAGACTAAGACAATGACTAACAGTACACTACGTCGCGTTAATTTCTAATACCTTAATTTCACGGAGCGTTAATTTTCTGTAAGAAGGTAACTTTGCACGTTCATCACGCGTATTGTACAATTCTTAGCTGTCATTGCTCGACGGCGACATGAAATGTCCTGATCACGGGCCTGTTTTATGAAGTAAGTGAACACAACACAGAAATGTTCCTTTTCTTTCTTAACTCAGATACGGTTCTCTTCGATTCAACGCCAGAAAATTTCGCTAACATTTGGCAAATTAAATGAAGTTGAACAAGATCAATAAAGTTTGAAAAACTGAGTGCGAATTCACGTTTTCTGTTTGTTGTCCGATCCAGATTTTTCTACCATGGTAACGTGACGTAACGGCTTCTCCTTTCTACTGGGGAGTCTTCACGCTTAACATGAGTATAAATCTACTCGTAGTGACGTTTTCTTGTTGTCGTCGTCTCATGGGTGTATCCTTTGCACAGGGCCCACCCAAGAGCTCCCCAGAGAGCTTGCTCGCAGGCTAGATGTAGCGTTGCAGTTGTGTTTACTTAACCTTGCTAGACAAATTTTACTACCTTCCCCGACCCGCTAGAATTGCAAATTTTGCTCGAAGACCAAACTGCAACGGAGATTCTTTTCCAGTCCTATGCCGCGACTACCACGATAGATTGCATGACCTGATTGGCTTGCATATCACATCACGTCAGAGGACATGTTCAAAAGATAGGACATAACTACAACGGTACAGTTTTCATGCAGTCTCGGGAGACACAAATAACAATGGTGAAATGAACAAATGCTGGTGGACAAACAAAGCGAGCTAATGAGCGATCTTTTGTTTACCGTCCACCAGCATGGCGGCGATGACGTAACGTGAAAACCACCTTAATTGCTGCAGGCTTATCAAATAGAGTGCTTATGTAAGTAGGTCATCTGCATATTAATAATCACAGGAGTTCAGGCTTCAGGAGCAATCATTAATCCTTAGTGCGACAGTGCTGCTTCGTATGGTCCGAAATTACAGGACCACACCTATCTGTATACATATTTAATAATATTCATACATCTTGGGAGCCAGAGGTCGTGTCACAGAAACAGAAAGATGCCTTTCCCTTTCAATCCTTACAGGGCTGTCCTACGCATTCGAAAGGTGGAAATATCTGGAGTAATTTTGCTTCTGTTGGTAACGATAACTTTATTGCTGACGAATGAGTGGAACCCAGGTGAAGTATGGTTTGTACATGTTAAAATAAATAGAGACATTACATGGCCGCGCGGAGATACAAAATTTCTCTTCGAGTGATGAAAAATATTTCACTCGTTAGCTGCGCTCACCAGGATGGGCTCCTGCGCTCACTCGTGAAATATTTTTTCAACACGAGCCATAGCAACGGTGATATTTTCACATGTGAAGATATCAGGTTTTCGCGCGAAAGCTCACCTGGTATTTCATTGGTGTTTATGTAATAAATGTATTTATTTAATAACTAAATCTGAGAAAAGGCTCCTTCAGCGCAAAGCAACCTCTTCACATAAGAAATAGTACATAAAAATCTCGGTTTTCACTCACGTGGGAAAGCAGAAATAAAAATGGAAACCTTTAAATACAGAAAGTCTAGAATCTGGGAAATGAAAGAAGATAAATATACAAAACGCCTTGCCTAGAATCAGGTCTATGCAATGGTTCATATGCGAGATATTGGGAAAAACGTTTTACCCAAATTTATAAAGCTTTGTATGGAGACGCCATGTTTGTGTCCCTTTCAGGGGCACAAATATGGCCGCCGAAAACCAACGGAAACATCTGTTGTTGAGTTTTCCTACTTATGAGTGAATTCTTCACTTGAGGAACTCGTAAAGATTAAAGCAATATTTATTCTAAGACAAGGAATGTTTAGATAGCAAAATCTCCAAAAATCCGTAATGTTTTTAACCCACAAAAGAGCTTTCCCGGCCGTCAGCTAAATGCCGCGTCCCGCAAAAGCCTGGAAATTCATGTGCGCTGTATCGCAAAACAAGAACGCTTTTGAACCGAAAATTTGTTTGTATAAAGGTTTTAAGGTGCTCTAATATCACATGAAAGTAGAAACTCAGAAGAAGCGGTAGTTTCTTACTTTGACTTTTGGTGACGTCATGTGAAAACGGCAAAGAATATTACATGAAAATAATAAAAATGACTCCAGGAGCCCTGATGACCTCCAGGGCTCCTGATGACTCTGATTATTGGTAAATGCTAATGATGAGCAGCTTAAAAGTAAAAGTTAGTGAAGCATATTTTTCGTCAGATTGAATATACAAAAAAGAACACTTGGAACTAGGGGTAACCAACGACGGTTTCCTCCTAAACAAGATTCTTATAAAAAGAAAAGAGTGTACTTTTAGATCTCTAGAAATGCGTTCTAAGCGGTCAGGAGCCTGCGATAAAATTTGAATCTGTTCGGTGATCTTTTCCAAAGTACAAGGTCTTCAGTATTACTTTCCCGAAAATCTTGAATGCAAATTGAAGTTTTACGAAAGCGAGCATTTTTCTGATTCCTCTCTCCATCACCCAGATCTAGAAAATTCGAAAATTCTAGGGAATTTTTGCTTCTCCGAACAGATACTTTACAGAAAACAATCGTTGGGTGCCCCCTGAAGAGCCATGTATTTCAATCATCGTTATAATGGAAAAACAACAGAAAACTTTGGCCTATATTTTCCTAGCCTCCGTTGCAGGCGTTTGAAAGGGAAGGGAAAGGGAGTTTTAGTGGTGTCGCGCCCTAATTCCCCTCCTCTTCCCTTATTTTTAATCTTGATTGTCTGATTACGGAACCAACTCAAAAACAATAGAAACACTGCTGGACTTAATCCTGACAAATGACAAGAAAAAGGTCTTAACATCAGGCGTGGTAGACACGCAACTTAGTAATCATTCGTTAGTTTATACTATCCTTCGATTATCGGTACCAAGGACTCGATCTCGCAATATTTGTTTTCATTGTCTGAAAAACTTCAGTCGAGAGAACTTTGTGCATGATATGCAAATTGTACCTTTCCACATAATTGATTTGATTGATGAACTTGATGATAAGCTTTATGCTTTTGAGCAATTGTTTCTAAGCGTTCGCCGCTATCAAGAAAACGATGTAAAAACAATGTAACGTGGTAATCAAGTGCTCGATATGACGGAACAATGGAGGAGGGCGATCAGGCATCGCAACAAACTGTGGAAAAAATTCACGCGCAATCGTACGGATGCAAATTAGTAGGCATACAAAACTCACCATAATACCTGCACCTCTCTTAGGCGAAAAGCAATAAAGCAATTCTGGTCTACTTTATGGTCTACTTTCCGCCCCTTTTCACATACTAAAAGTAAGCAAGCCAATGACATTATCTTGAAAGAAAATGACAGGATTATTAACAACAAAAAGGAAATTGCCAATGATCTGCTTAATGACTACTTTGTTCACATTGCTGATAGCATGCATGAAATACGAGTAGAGGATTACGGTGAGGATTATGCTATATAATCATCCCAGCATCAAAGCAATCCACGAACACAGGGGCTCTAGTGCTCCAGCTTGCTTCAGTTTTCATCGCACAAGTGAAACCCAGGTTGAGCTATTACTAAAAGAGAACAATGTACGCAAGTCACCTGGTCACGATATGATCCCACCAAAGTTGATTAAAGAAGCGGCAGCTGTTATTGCGCGGCCTAAGACAAGTATAATTAACTGTTGTATTGAACATTGCTGTTATCCTGCTAGCTGGAAGATGGGCATGGTGACAGAGACGACGAGTTTTGTAAGATCAACTATACGCCCGTAACTGTGCTCCCTGCTCTAAACGATATTTTTGAAAGGCTTCTGTCGGGGCAGATGTATGAATTTTACAATGGACTCTTATCAGACTTCTTAAGCGCTTATAGAAAGTTTTATAGTTGCGAGACCTCTTTGCTAAGGTTGACAGAGGACGGGAGGATGATGCGTGACAGGGGGGAACTCGTTGCGGTAGTTTCTATGGATCTCTCTAAAGCGTTTGATGTTATTCAGTATCCACTCCTCCTTTCGAGACTGAGGGCCTATGGTGTGGACGACAAACGTTGTGCCCTAATTAGGAACTATACCTCTGGCAGAACTCAGAGAATTAAAGTTGGAGACACCTTTTCGACCTGGGAAAGGGTCAAGCGTGGGGTCCCGCAGGGGAGTGTCCTGGGTCCTATGCTATTCAACATTTTCATAAACGATCTTTTCTTCCACGTCAAGAAGGCCAAGTTGAACGCTTATGCGGATGATCATCAGGTGTACTACTCCCACGTCGATCCGGCAGCTCTGGAAGCATGCGTTCCACTAATTGGCCACGCCAACATCATGAGATACCATGAAAAT